CCTCATCTCTACAAAAAATCAGAAAATTAGCCCACTATGGTGGTGTGTGCCTATAGTCCCAGCTACTCAGGAGGCTGAGGAGTAAGGATCACCTGAGCCCAGGAGTGATAGAGTGAAACTCCAACTCAAAAAAAAAAAAAATGAAGCAATGTAATTTTTTTTCCTTTAAATACTGCTTAATCATTTGGTAGGACTACATTTCACTTTAACCATTGAAAATTTAGCAGTTATTATATGCTGCAAGTATGAAATACTTATCTGTAGTTAAAAAAAGTAATATATGAATATTTTTATTTAAGTTACATGTTAAAATAACAGTTTCATCATTCATAAATAGTAGTTGTTTAATAATAAGTAACTTATTACATGTTGAAAGGATAATCATTTTATCATTAATAAATAGTAATTGATATTTAGGTTTAAATAAAACATATTATTAAACTTAATGTCCCCTGGCTCTTTTTACTCTTTTTACATTTTAAATGACTCATATGGTTTGCATTGTATTTCTACTGGGGAGTATTGACCAGGAGCCAGGTTACAGTTTGATGCTGGTGATAATACCCACAGAGCCTCAGAGAACATGGGGTGTTTAATAAATATTATCTGAAATGAGTGAAAGATTCTTATCATATATCAGTGCTTAGTCATTAGAAACTAAAATTGATGACCCATCTCTTCCGGTATTTATTATCCAATGGATACTTCAATCTAAGCATCCTGTGGGCTCCTCAAAATGAGCTATAAGACAAAGATAAATATTAAAAATAACAAAATCTTGGCATTTGTCAACCCCAATTTACCCCATGCTTCCACAAAACTAACCTGCAATTCCACAATACTAACGCATACTTAAATAAACTTTGGTCTATAAAAGTGACCATTAAGTCCTCTCCTTTTCCACATGACTGTGCAGCTGAAGTCTCTGGTTTATCTATACTGAGCCTTGGGTTTCAGGAGAGGCTTTGATCTACTGGTTTCCACCTATGGATGAAATACCCCACTGGCATTCACCAATTTAGAGACATGAATATGTCACATGACTACTAGTCATGCTACTCCTGAGGACCTCTCTTTCTGAGACATCTTCTAGTGACATGTACCTTTCACTCTGTCTACCACTTTCCAGTAACAGTCAAATCTGGACATCTGAGGATACGTCTGGGTCAGTGTTGGTTTTCTGTATTTCCACTGTGTTTACGTAGTGACTTTTGGACTATGCAGCAAAAAGGTGGGAACATTTAGGAAAGCACCGGGGGCAAAGCAAGGGCTCTGCAGTTGCATCCATTTTAGATTAAGATCAGGCAGCCTCAGTGCCTCATGCATGTCCGAAAGGCAGAAGGCTAGAGAAGCAGAACAGAGACACAGAAAGAGTCACCCAGAGGTTGGCTTCTTTTAAGACTCTGACCGCAATTTCCCCTAGTGAACTACATAGAATGACTTGTAGGAAATGTACCTTCCCAACATTTAAACTTCTCAGAGAAAGGGCATGTAGTGGCAATTTTTAAATGAACCTCATTAATGTTACTGGAAGCAGACTGGCAACAGTTTTGGTAATGAGAATTTCAGAATTTTGGAACTGAAAGGGAATTTCAGAATTTTGAATCACTGCCTAGAGATTCTCTCCTCACAGGCATTTTTTTAAAAGACCCTCCTGTCAGAATATTTGGAAGTAAATGCAAACAAAGAATCTGTGGGTTTTAGCACTATCCCTATAAAGTTGGTCTCTGCATCAAGGGACCCTAATAAGCATATCCTGATCAATTTCATGTTTTGTACTGTTTTATCACTGATGCAAGAAAAACCCTGTAAATATTTGTATTAGCTCCCTGTAAGTGAGCTTTCCTGCTTACTTCTATAAATAAACCAGTTTTATAGACAAGACAGCAAACCCTGCATTAGCCAACCGGCAAAAGCACCTAGCAAAGTTCTCAGTGAGTATCCCAGTCATTCCACTACAGTTTTTTGGGACTTTTTTAAAAAATTAAACTAACAGTCTGAAGTCTATGGCACCCATTTCAACACCTTTAGCATGTTAGGTGTTTTTTCTAACATATAAAACTAGAACTGTTTCCTGTGATTAACATGAAATAGTGGGAGGTGACTTAAGATATTAATTAGGTAAATCAAGAGAGGGAAGATTCAGAAGCCTCCATTGCCTGTCTTACTGTGAATTACCTATTAGCAAATTTTGGTGAGCTCTGACACATGCTCAAAATATGGACTAAAACTATGTTGTTTCCACAGTGGATTTAGAGTTCAAGGTGGAGAAACATTTATATGAAACCTCAGCATTTTCAGTGACTCGATTTTCTCTCTCTTGGGTCATTGTCAATGACCTGTGAGTACATGATCACTACCATCCCTTACAGTTCCAAAATTCTGAAATTCTCATTACCAAAATGGTATTGGTCTGCTTCCAACCATATTATGTTCATCTTAAAATACCACTTTACGCCTTTTCTCTGACTATCTTAAAATGTTAGGATTCAGCACTGATTTATATAATTAAATAAGAGGAGGGGCTATAAAGAGAAATAATCTAGTTGCTGATTTGCTGATTAGCCATGTATGCAAAGGACACTTTTAATTGATACACAATAATTGTACATATCCATGGCATTCATGTGATCTTTTGATACATGCATACAATGTGTAATGATCAAATCAGGGTACCGAGTACATCATCACCTCAAACATGTATCATTTCTTTGTGTTGGGAACATATCACATCTTCTCTTCTCACTATTTTGAAATACATCATATCATCACCCTGCTATGCTATTGAAACTAAAAATAATTCCTCTGATCTAACAGTATGTTTGTACCCATTAAACAATCTCTCTTCATCCTTCCTTCCCCACCCTTTCCAGCCTCTGATAAGTATCATTCCACTCTCTACCTCCATGAGACCAACTTTTTTAGCCCCATATATGAGCGAGAACATGCAATATTTGTCTTAGATCACTTTAGAATAAATTACTTAAGCCACAGAATCCAGGTGACGTCATGACCACTTTGAGTCCTTGAAATGGGTTTCTTTAATATGTGAAATCTGTATCTCATCCTCAAACTGTGGCAAGCAGGTTGGGTGTAGTGCCACCATAGTGATGGAATATCACACTTCTAATGTGTCAGGTGAAACAGGAATAACGTCGCAAAGAACGTTAACAGACAAAGGAAGAAGATGCATTGGTGAGAAAATGTATTGGCCAGACTTTCTCTCATTAAGAACATCTGTCAAGTCTCTGGCACTGTTGTCAATGTGAAATGACTAACCAGTCTCACTACTCTGTCGATCCCTTTGTTTAGTCTAGATATAAATGACATTAGGGGCTGGAGAATCAAGAGAATTAAGTCATCAGTATGTCTGCCGCAGAGGAAAAGTGGACCAGGAGGAAGGAGCAATAGAGAACAAAACAAGGCCAGGCTCGGTAGTCTATGCCTATAATCCCAGCACTTTGGGAGGCTGAGGTAGGAAAGCTGCTTGACCAGGAGATTAAGACCAGCCTGGGCAACACAGCAGGACCTGTCTCTACAAAAAATACAAAAGTAGGCTGAGAGGCAGGAGTATCACTTGAACCCAGGAGTTTGAGTTTGCAGTGAGCTGTGATCATGCCGTTGCACTCCAGCCTGAGTGACAGAGCAAGACCTTGACTCAAAAAAAAAAAAAAAAGAAATTGGGAAGGCAAAGCAAAAAGTGAGCCTTGTTAGGGCCCAATGCCAGGGTGCAGGCTGTAAAAATACCCACACATTTCCTGCCACGGCAAATTCCAGAGCCACCAACCCGTCATGATCTCAACATCTTCTATCTCTCCTGTTGGGTGGATTAGAGAATTGTGGTCTTGAGTTCTTGAGTGTGTTTTGGGATTGGAATCACAGTCCTTTCAACCAATACAGTTAAAACAAGGAGCACTTAGACCAGTTTAGTGGGCAATGCTTACTGCTCTGTTAAAACCAGATCTACCTACCCTCGTGAATAACATTTAGATTCAAGCATGTTTGTATTACTCTTTTTCTTTGAATAAAGGTTTTAGCAGCATGGCTGACTCTCTCTTTGTTTGGTTTGGGAATATGCAGTTTCCTTGCTGTCTGGGCCTCCAGAGTTACAGGCCCCCACACAGGAGTAATAGAAATGCATCTACCCCTATGGGGAGGTGGGGGGTGGTTCATAGACACTGAGCATGCCGTCTGGTTGGGAAGGTCTCAATTTCCTCCAAGCTCTCTTGCAACAGTTGAGGAGGTGGGGCAGTGAAATGGACTCCAGTCCTCAGATGCTTGCTTTGATTTTTAATTCTGCATCTGAACATTGGGTTTAGCATTGAGAACAGCTCCAACCCATCGGGACAATTAGGCATTCACTTTGCACACCATCAAATACAAGATGGCTAGCCTCACGCTCTGGGCTTTCTTTCATTGATAGAGCATAGAATCTGGGTGTAAAGAGACCTAGTACTGAAACTAATTAGTTGTGTGAATCACTTAGTCCCTCTGGGGCTCCACTTTCTCATTGTAAGATGAGGGGATTCGACTAAACGATTTCTTCTTTCACATACAATGATCCATGGTTGTTCACAAGCTCACCTCTCAATGAGGTTAGCTGAGTTTTGTGGGGAAATGTCTGGACAGATGCCATGTTCTACGGAATCTGCTTTTGACTTTTGTTGTCATGAAGGGCCTAGCCCAACTTAAGGTCATTCCATTCCACCTTGTTCATTCCTGATCTACCTCAGTTCTGTCCTAGGGTCTCTGTGACCATAAGCCAATCACCCACCAAGTGTCTGTAATAAGAGTTTCACGTGACCTGGCAGAGTTAGGAATATGCTACCTTTTAAGAGTTCGTGTTCAAGTGCTGTAATCTCTCAAATCTTCCTTAGGATGATTTCAGTTTTGTGAAATGGGTCCTTTAAGAATCACTTCCATTATTATACTGGTAATGACTGTTTCATTCATCAAATAGTTTTCAGATTCACACTCATTTGCTTTGTTTTCCATTTCAGATTAAGACATCAGTTATTTGGGCAACCCCAAATGTTTCCTTCTCAATCCCATTATGGGTAATAATACTAGCAATACTTCTTGGATTATTGGTTCTGGCCATTTTAACCTTAGCTTTATGGAAGGTAAGTTGATTTACTTTATTTTCCTTTTGGACTAAAGGGCCCACTGAGGTGATTTAGAAGGATTTCGTTGGGGATTTTAAAAGACAATGCTGGAGGCATATTTGGGGATTTTGAACAGTCTCAAGGACATGAAGAGAAAATCATGTCTTGTGTGCTTTGGCATGCTTAATGTGCCTGTGTAGTTGACATTTAAGATAACTGGGAGTGTTTAATGTTACTTTCATCTTGAAATTTCTTGTAAATAAATCTATAGAGAGTTAGGCTTTATTAACGAAGACCTGTGATCTTCTTTCCAATATGCTCAGAGTGATAATGTTATTGTGAAGACTTCTTTTGCTTGTTTAATTCATCAAGATCTTAAGCTTTTTACTGACATGGCCCTATCATCAATCCCTTGAGATTTTTCTTTATAAGTACTGTACAGATGCATTTAATATAGGTTGATTTTGATTTTTATCTCAACTATCAATTAGGCCAAATAGATCATGCATGTTATAAAATGCTGGGACTTGGTTTATAATCTTGCAAATTAGTCTGTCTCATTAAGAAGCCTGAACTTACTCTTTGATGTGTTTTACTGAGGTTTGTTCTGAAAGTCCAATAGAAATTAATTTCTGGCTCAACAACCTACATAACTGCCAAGTTTCAAAGAGCCTTCCATTCCAAAATAGAAACAATGTCACAATTACGTGACTATAAGAGCAATTAACCCAGCCACATCTTAATCACTATTGCAGTGGCACGCTCCCGGCCACCACAGCCCTAAAACGTGTGTTATTTTTTGTTGTTGTTGTTTTTTTTGAGTTGTAGTCTCACTCTGTCACCCAGACTGGAGTGCAGTGGCACGCTCCCGGTCACCGCAGCCTCGACCTGCTGGGTTCCGGCGATCCTTCTGCTTCAGCCTTCCAAGTAGCTGAAACTACAGGCGCGCGCTATCATGCGTGGCTAATTTTTTTTATTTATTGTAGAGATGAGGTCTCGCCAAGTTGCCCAGGCAGGTCTCAAACCCGCAGGCTCAGGCAATCCACTCACCTCAGCCTCCCACGTAGTGTGTTTTTATTTTGAGACAATATGAAGCATACCTAATAGAGCTATACACTGAAAAAGCCTTGGCTTTGAGTTAAAGAATAGCTTTTCTGATCAATATCAGCTGTTTTATGCCATCGTGAGCTCACATTGTCTATGGCACATCTTTAGAATGGACATTTGTGTTATTCTATTATTTATAGTAGCCATATTTCCAATGAACATAAGATATAATCATATGTGACAAATAACAAAATATTCCACTAGCCCTGGGAAAGAACGATGATTCAATGGCTATAAGCCAAGCCCAGGAACTTGGCTTCCAACATGAAAAGCAACAAATAAGAATTGAAGTTCCAGGTTTCTAGGAAAAGATATATTCTACTTGGCAAAGTACTAATTTGAAATTTAAGAAAAAGAAGATTCTGGAATCACATCTTCCCTGAGTTGATGGTTAACCCTTGGAGAATCACTAATATGTCTGGTTCTGGCATTGAAATAAATGATAAATCAATTCTCCTTCTATACTTACTATGTGTTCCACCAAGTGCAGAAAGATGTGTAGCCATCTCCTCAGTCCATCCCAAGGGATCCTAGTACACTTCAGGGGACAATGTCCCTTTGCTGGTCAGTAGTTAGCACTCCTGCTGGCTCTAGGAAATACATAGAAAAAAACAGAAAGGGAATCCTTGGGACATGTTGCTGTAATCTCAGGAAAATATCCCAGGTCTGAAAGTGGTTTTACCAAACAGGGGCATCTCCCACTCCCACTATATGGCAGGAAGAAAGGCATGGACACTCAGTCCTCCTGCTCCCCTCGCTCTGTACAATGAGTTCCTTTCTAGGGGTAGCAAACATGCTGCTTTCACCACCTAATTTGGGTAATTCAGTTGAATATATTTGCAGAGCTTCAAGCTCCTTAGATAATATTTTGAATGAGGGATTTCACGGGTTCCCAGAATGATTTGAGTTCATTGTTCATTTTTCTTTTTCATAGTGTGGATTCTTTGACAGAGCAAGACCTCCCCGGGATGATATGACAGACAGGGAACAGCTGACAAATGCCAAGACCCCTGAGGCATGACAAGGAATAAAAAAGACAAAAAACTCAAGCACTGGTCCTGATCAAAGAAAAGAGAGAAGGGTTAAGCAAAGGCTTTTACTCTACCTGCCCATGACCCAGGAAATGGAGGGACCACTGAAACATCACCTCGTTGACATCACACTTTGGAGAAAGTGTCATGGGAGCCCAATGAACCCTTTTGAAAAAGGAAACACCAACACTGTAGAAACTATCAGCAATCGTGGAAGATTTTTTTTTGCTTTAGTCATTCCGTATTTGGCAGAGACTTTGAAATGGGTATGGGAACTTGGGTTGCTGACCAGGTCAATCCAGCTTAAACTGCAGAGATGAAATGTCTGCATTCCTATAGAATTTAGAAGGTGAACTAAGAACAACCCACCGAACACTACTGTATCCAATGAAATATTTGACACCTCCCTATGGAAAAGAAACATTTCTGGTGACATTTTGGCTCAGGGAGACAAGCAATATGTTGTTAGTACTGTGAAAGTACTTTTGACACAACAAAGATAATCACGTGAGTGAGGATTAAAATTTATTTATTTATTTTCCATTTCCCTAGGTTGAGAATCTGGTCATTTAGACTAGGATTTGGAGATCAAGATTTGGTTAGCTAGTTTTGACATCACTCACTTAATTTCCTCCTATGATAACCACTGTGTGCAGATCACTCATTGAAGAGAGCTTTCTCAGAATTTAGATAGCATTATGCAAAAGCAAATTGGTAAAAGGAGTCAGTTTCGTTTAATACTTTACTGCCGGCAGTCTGAAATTACTTTTATTCACACTATCCAGGGACTCACATCTGCTTAATTTAGCTTTGCAAAATGTTGCATTTATATTTCCTTTTATATATGCATATATATATATATATATATATATATATTTAAAATTTCCATTGACACAGTTAATACACGAATTTCAAGGTACTCTTTACCCAGTGGGGTGTTTAAAAGTAATGGTGAAATTTCTAGAGTCTATTAATAAAAAGGAAATTTAACAATATAGGTAAACATTTTTAATGTCTATAGGATGCAATACTAATATTTAGCTTGGGATAAAACACCTATTTTCCCTGCTATACTTCATATTTCTATGCACAAAGAAAACATTGAACATAAATAAGATGGAAATACAAAGTTACACAGGTGTGAGGCAAACTGATTCCTAAATATTTTATTTGAAATTGCTTATTCTAACTTTATTACTCATTTTTTACTGCTACTCTTAAGAGTATATAACTTTAGAGAATAATCTTTTATTTAAGCTATTTTTCCATCATTTTTGAATTTAACCATCAAAATCTTTTGATGTTTAAAACTCTTGTAAATAATCCATAATCATGTGTGATATTATCATTTTTAAAGTAAAATTGACCAGCCAAATTCATAGATAGTCTGCACAATTTTGTATCCTTTCATAATAGTGAAAAATTACTATGAAGAAATGCTGAAAAAATTTTTATGTGCAATATTTTATAGACCTATGTATCTGAAGCATGTTTACACTGGCATTAGTTATTTTTTAATGAGTATCTTAAATATTAAGTATAATAGAACCACCTGATCGAAACCCTTAAGTTTACAGAGCTGTTGGAAAAAAATCTGTCCCAATTTCAACAATCACACTTTATTTGAAAGATGAACCAAACCCACAGACACTAAATTTTATGTCATGCCATAACCTGGAAAGAAGCCATTTGGCTGTGGTTGCAGGACTTCCTTGGGAAGCAAATGAAAGGCATGTGAGAGAACATACTATTGCAGTTCCTAATCTTCCTGCTTGCAAATTCAGTCCTGTCATGGTCACAGTTTTGTGTCTGTCAGGAGCTCAAGTCTGGTTCCTAGTTTGTGTGCCTGACTGTGAATGAGCATTGAACTTGCCTCAAAGAGTTTGAAGGGCCCACGCCAGCCTCTGGGGGTCTTTAGTTTTAATCCTCTAGGTAAAACCCATCTTACCGGCCATCTATATGATATGATGTGAGGGGTGCCAGACAGCCCTCTCTGCCCCCTACATGATGCCCTAACTCTGATTGTTGGGTCTGACTCGTGACCACTAGAGATTAGTACCTCTGGATTTTTGGTCATGAGAGGTTCCCTGGGGAAAATGCACCCCTTGTTTTTAAGTCAACATTTGTTAGGAAAGTTGGAACTCTTAGGACTAGAGAGGGCCCTCTAGAGACAATTCATACAGACACCTGGTAGACACTAGAGATGCCAAGAGGAAGATTGAGACACAGAATGAAGGAGGGAATGAGGGCTTCAAAGACGAACTGCTCCTTCCCAGAGTCTCAGCCAAGAGCAGTCCCTCCTAGCGGGGACAGGCACCTTCCACCTGCCCACAGCTACTGCCTCCCACGGTCATGCAGAGGGCCATCATGCACACACACACGGTAGCCCTCTGCCACTCAGAATGTGGAAGCAGGTGGAGGAAGGGAGGAAACCGAGGTCAGGTGAACCTTCCAGCAATCCATTTTTCAGCCTCTCCTCCACCTGGAGAACACACTAACAGTGCACTGAGTGTGTTTGCTTCTAGTTAGACCATTGCCGATTGCTTTCATAATTCATAATGTGCTGTGCTCCTCTGAGCGCCTATCTGTATTTCTCTGCAAAGGATTCCTTTTTCAAATTCTTGCAGCTAATTTTTAAGACACGGGGAGATGAGCAAATTAAGTTTTATAAACTTGGAGATTTTTATGCAGTAAGTAAATATCATGTACAAGTCACCACTGAAACTCCATTCTTAGAACTCAACTCTTGTTTTATTTAAATACATGTGTAGATATCTGTGAAGATTTTCATGTACTTATTTACCTTGTCACTAATAAAATTAAAAAGGAAAGACAGGATAGTGTCTTTACGATTTATTTCACACACAACATAAAGCTTTCCCATAGTGACCAGACATCAAAGTTTCTTTCTATGTTGATTCTTTATTATGAAAATGTTTAACACTGGAAGAAATTTTGAAAGAGCAAAACTACAATGCTCTTTGGAATAATGAAAGTGTTCTACATTTAGATTTTGGGGATAGTTGCACAACCCTGCGACTTTACTAAAAATTATTGAATTATGCGCCTTAAATAGGTAAGTTTAGGTGTGAGAATTATACCTCCAATAAAGAAATTAAAAATTTCAGACCAGGCACAGTGTCTAACACCTGTAATCCCAATATTTTGGGAGGGTAAAGCGGAAGGATTGCTTGAGACCAGGAGTTCAAGACCAGTCTGAGTAACACAGGGAGACCTTGTTTCTACAAAAAACAAAAAAATTAAATTAGCCAGGCGTTATGGCATACCTGTAGTTTCATCTCCTTGGGAGACCGAGGTGGAAGGATTGCCTGCGCCCAGGAGATTGAGACTGCAGTGAGTCATGATTATGCCACTGCACTCCACCCTGGGTGACAGAGTGAGACCCCAACTCAAAAAAAAAATTTTTTTTTTAAGTAACTTCTGGCCAGGCTCAGTGGCTCAGCTTGTAATCCCAGCACTTTGGGAGGGTGAGGTGAGTGGATTGCCTCAGCCCGTGGGTTTGAGACCAGCCCCCAGCAACTTGGCAAGACTTTGTCTCTACAATAAATAAATAAAAGTTAGACGGGCTCGGTGGCTCAACCTGTAATCCTGCGCCTTTGGGAGGCTGAGGTAAGTGGATTGCCTGAGCCTGCGGGTTCAAGACCCGCCTGGGCAACTTGGCGAGACCTCATCTCTACAATAAATCAAAAAATTAGACGGATGGCCGGAGCCCAGCAGGTCGAGGCTGCGGTGGCCGGGAGCGGCCACTGCACTCCAGTCTGGGTGACAGAGTGAGACTCCAACTCGGAAAAAATAAATAAATAAATAAATATCGGAATAAATAAATAAAAGTTAGCCAGGCGCGGTAGCGCACCCGTAGTTCCGGCTACTTGGAAGACTGAGGCGGAAGGATTGCCTGAGCCGAACAGGTCGACGCTGGAGTGGTAATGAGCTTGCCACTGCACTCCAGCCTGGACAACAGAATGAGACTCCAACTCAAAAAGTAATAATAATAAAAAGTAACTTTTTAAAAAAATTTTATTATAAAGATGCGGGGTACAATTCAAGGTTAGGTATACAAGCATTGATCATGCAGGTACCCCTGTTAATGAGGTATGCCCCTCCCTCCCCTAGCAGTTTCCCTCAACTACTCAGAAGGCTGAGGCGGAAGGATCGCTGGAGCCCAAAATGTCAACATTGGGGTGGCAGTGAGCATGCATGCCACTGCACTCCAGCCTGAGTGAAGGAGTAAGACTCCAACTCAAAAAAAAAAAAAAAAAAGTAACTTCTAATACAACCTTCTGCAATTGATTTCTTTTCTCCATATTACCTTTCAAATGTTGCTCATATGTATATCTTAGCTCCTTTATGAAGCATTCCCTTGCATCTTTGGTCAACTGTCCTTCAAAAGCATATTGTCAATTACCACAGTTTTCCATTTGTTCACATGACTGTCTTCTAGCCAGACAGACCCTTAATGAGAGCAGAAGCTGAATATTTTCATCAGATACACCTAGCACCAATACCTGGTGTATGGTCAACAACCAAAAATATTTCTAGAGTGAACGAGTGAATATACTATGTGCATAATAAACATAGGGAACATGCACTTTGTATCAGCTTCCATTACTAAGCACCAAAACACAGATAAATATGTGTAAATCTTCCCCCTTACAATTTTCATACAGTGTCATTATAATAGTTACCCAATGTTCTATTCAATTAATGAACCATGTTTGTTTAACCAGCCCCAGCTTACTATGAATAGCTGTGCCCAGCTTCATATATTAAAAATCATATCAAATTAAATACTCTTACTCATGGGCTTCTTTTTGTTTATTTCAGTGTATGAACTTCGTGTGGGTCAAAGCGTGAAAATTTTTGTAACTCTCAATAACATGTTGCTTTTAAGGGAACTAAATCAATTTGCCTTAACCTAAATGCACCATTTCCTTCACAACTCTGTCAACATTATTTAATTTGGTAACTGTTTT